CACACACTCACACTCACACTCTCACACACACACACACTCACACTCACACACACACACACACACACACTCACACACACACTCACACTCACACACACACACACACACACACTCACACACACACTCACACTCACACACACACACACACACACACTCACACACACACTCACACTCACACACACACACACACACACACTCACACACACACTCACTTCGTTTAATAGCATTTACTCTCCATAAAACAAATAGAAAAAGTGATCAAACCAATTTGTATTTAATATTTTGATAGTTTTTGATCGTGTTTTATGATCACGAAATGTAATTCAGGGGAATAATTATGGGTAATTATTATATTTTAGCAAGTAAAACTTATTTACTTCATTTACTTCTATAAAAAGAAACATAAAGAGAAAAAGTGACCAAATCAAACCGGTTTGTGTTCGATATGTTGATTATTTATTATTATTATTATTTCAGTGTAGATTCGAAAGTTGCTTTTAAATTTAAATGTTTAAATCGATTTAAATAATTATTTTCAAGAACTGCACTTAGAAGTGTTTTCTTAAGTTTTTCTCGAGTCCGGCCTCATGATGTTTTGCAGTTGATCTTTCAGTAAGGTGCATTAAAATCTTGAATGAAAATTGAATTAAGTGTAATGGCGAGCGTCTGCAGCAATGAGACGAGTGAAAGGTGTGTTTGGCGCTCTACACAGAGGACTCTATTTATTGTGAGTGTGCTGCTGAACGCTGGAGAGCCGTGAGTTATTTCGGGGTCCGTTCTCATGCACCATAACTGAGAGAGAAACTCCCAGCGTCAGCACATTCAGAACGAGCCAGTCGCTTACCGTAAAGACTGAATTCTAGAATAAATAAAGAAGAGATCTTTATAGAAGTGGGATGAACACGAGTGGGGTTTATATATATATATGTGACTGTATAGTCTGAATGTATTGACTGTAACGCTCTGAGCTCCATTAACATTAACTACTAAACCACCACCAGTAGAGAAATAGTGTCATTATTTATCATAATTGTATTTATTTAATTAATTATATTATTGATTATTTTTATTTTCACTTTAGTTTTAATATCTTTGTAAACGTACATAAGTTTGCAATTTATTATAATTATATTTGTTTATTTAATTTATCATATTATTGATTATATAAATGATATAATTTATTTATTAAATTCTTTATTTAATTGTATTATGTTTTTATTTCTGTTGTACTGCACATTATAGCAATTTAGTTTTCAGTTCTTTGTAATGAAAACCGAACTGCAGATGTGCACTATAACACAAATAAAATAAATATAGTTAGAGAGATAATAATCTTCTGATTGAAGATAGTCTGGCAAATCAGACATCTGTATATTTTAGCGTGAAGATGCTATTTGAACATGAAAAATTAGTTAATAAATATAGTGGTGATCAAATCTGAAATCAGTGCGATTGCAGTGTGCAACGAATAAATGCAGTACATACAGAATTTTAATAAGATTATTACATAATGTTAACCAATACAACTTTTGATTTTAAAAATATATTAGTGATTTTTCAAATTAACTAAGCTAATAAATACTGTAGAAGTATTGTTCATTATTTCATGTTAACTAATGTAGTTAACAAATAAAGCCTTATTGTAAAGTGTTACTGATACTTTGGTTTTACACGTTTAAATGTAACATTAAGGCCAAAAACAAAATCGTCAACAATGTTAATGAGAACATTAATGTCCAGTACAGTATGATAAACTAGACCTGAACATTCAGCACTAATAATGTTTTCTGCTGTGCTGAAGTCGTCCAGTAGTTCTCTCTACGGCTGAAATGATCTTTAAACGTGTTTTTACTCATGTTGAAGGAAACCTGAATGTGACGCTGCAGGTGTGGGACATCGGAGGACAGACTATTGGAGGAAAAATGCTCGACAAATATATCTACGGAGCACAGGTGACACACACACACACACACACACACACACCCTCACTCTCTCTCTCACACACACACACAC